GCCCATAAAGCAAATCAGTCCTATCTAGAAAAACAGCAAGCTGTGACAAACGCTGTTGAAAATTTGTTTCTCTACATTCTCCTATGGATTGGACAACCTACACAGCAAAAAATAAATTTTAATATTTCATCATCATAATTTCATCAATCATGTAATTTTTATGGCCACAAAAATTAACAAATTAATTAATTTTTTGCTGTGTAGTTTTGGTATTTTCAAAATATTTTCTGAATAAAACACGTAACTTTTAGTGCACAATGTAAATGCCAGTAGTTTACAACCGATTCTAAAGGTCCAAACGCAATGGGGCGGAAGTGGAACGAAAACGGCAAGTTTGACAGTGGTCACGAATGACATCAAGATGCCTAACCTAAGTCGATTTGGATCTAACTAGTTTTCAATCCGACAAGTAGTCATACTCAGATCGGGCTTTTCCGCTACCATTACCATTCCGCTTCCGCTGTCATTGCGCTTGGGTCTTAATGGTTAACTCATTTCTGACAAAAATCCATATGGGACAATTATGCATTTATTGACAGTTTATGTATACAAGCTTGTAAACAATTATTTTAGTGTATGCCATCTAGAGCTCATTGATAATTTATGCGATATTACGCTTAAATTTGATGGTATTTACATTGTGTTACCCCTCACCATACATAAACTTTTATGGCACTTATATCAACCGGTGAACACTCGTGTTTATTTCAGCTACCGTGGGGACGTGTAGCAGCTAAACCACAAAATTACCTTGAATACGGGGGGTATTCATTGGATGAAAGGGACCGTGAAAGAGGACACTAAAATACAAAGTTTTTCTTCCGACAGTTTCATCTTAGAATTCATCTTTGCTTATATGTGCATGACGGCCCTTCTAGCAACACTATATGTTTCATGTGTACATAACAACAACAATAGTAAAGTTTAGTTTGTTCTTCCGTGACGTGTCGTGCGTATTTATTTGTCGATCCTTCCGAAGGCAATACGTGTGTGTCCGCTTGCGACCCGTGAGAACTATGTCCACTTCGGTCCACCCATAGGTTATGGGTCCAGAGCAATGTCGCAGTTCCATCCTTTCTCTACAAGCAAGTGGCGGAAGGTCAAAATATTGCGAAAATGTGATTTCATGGTCCGTTTTATTTTACACGTCGCGAGTGCCTCTTGTGTTGTGTGAAGATGGTGAATTTGAGCAAACTTATGTTTGCCAAGCTCAACAACCAGAACTGGCAGAGCTGGAAATTCCGCATGGAAATGATGTTGATGCGGGAAGAGATCTGGTATGTTATTACCAACGCGAAACCGGAGCCGGTGACGGCACAGTGGAAGAAAGACGAACAGAAAGCTCGTGATACTATCGGGTTGTGTGTAGAAGAAAGCCAGTATAGCGTGTTAAAATGTGCGAAAGACGCGAAATAATTTTAGGCGCAACTTCGTGCGTACCACGAAAAGTCTACGATGACTTCTCGCGTTTCGTTGCTGAAGAAATTGTGTTCGTTGAACTTGTCCGAGTGTGGTGATCTGGAGTGTCATCTTCTGGAAATCGAAGAGCTGTTCGATAGATTGACGACAGCAGGACAAGAGTTGCAAGAATCGTTGCGAATTGCCATAATTCTCCGGAACTTGCCACAGCGGAATGGTGTAGCTGAGCGGAAGAACCGGTCGCAGCAAGAAATGGCAACGACGATGCTCCTTTATGCGGGTTTGGATAAGCGGTTCTGGGGCGAGGCCGTACTGTCGGCTGCTTATTTAGAGAACCGACTTCCGTCACGATCGGTTGACAAGACTCCGTATGAAAAGTGGTATGGGAGGCAACCGATACTTAGCCATTTGAAAGTATATGGTTGTCTTGCTTATGTCCACATTCCCGATGTCAAATGGGGAAAATTTGACAGTAAAGCGAGGAAGCTGAGGTTTATTGGGTACTCTGACGTGTTACCGTTTTGTTGATACCTCGACTGACAGAGTCACAATAAGCCGTGACGCCAAGTTATGGAGGACGCATCGTCACATAGAATGGATTCGAAAGTGACATCTGATGAAAATTTGTCTAGTAGTGTGATCGAGTGGCCTTTTCCTGAGGTGCTCCCGAAGCAGTAGGCAGCGGAAGAAGAAACTGCCGATAGCGGCGAAGAAGATGAAGAATCGGCGAGCGAAGACAGTGAGCGTGAAGATTATTTTTATGTGGCCGATCCCGATCCAGATGAAGATCCCCTCGCGGTGAAGGAGGAGGAAAAAGACGATGAAGTGAGTGAAGAATAAGAAAGTGCAAATCAACAAGGTCGTCGCACCCGTGGCGTGCTACCGAGCCGTTTGTTGGATTATGTGGTAGGTGTTGTGACGCAGAAGATGCAGGAACCAGCGACGTACAAGCAAACAGTGTCCAGCCCAGATCGATATTCGTGGAAGGGAGCGATGGATAGCGAAATCCAGTCGTATAAGCAGAATGAGACGTGGAAGTTGGTGCCACTTCCGAAGGGCAAGAAACTTGTAGACAGTAGTTGGGTGTTCAAAGTGAAACGGAACGAATTAAATGAAATCGTCCGCTACAAAGCAGGGATCGTCGCGCAGAGATTCACTCAGTGCTATGGCGTCGACGAGGGCGTCGATTACGATGAAGTGTTCGCCCCTGTGACCAAACATGCTACACTCAGAGTCCTGTTGTCTCTGGCTAGAAAGCTGAAATGGCGTTGATGCGCTTTATATTGCTGAAATTTAGATTAACTTTTTCAACATTGTACTGAGTAAGAATGCTATGTAACTGCAGTAGCTGAAGCATGTTGGTTAAAAATGAATGCAGATTCAACACTGAGCGTTCATAAGGGTCAATTTCACAAACGTAAACAATAACTTCTTTTGTAAGTTTCTCGGAGTTCAAAGTCCATGCACAATGGAAAAAAGTGAATGAAAAAATACATTTTATTTTGTAGCATTTCCGAAACACGCTGTAGCAAAAAAATGGTTTATATCATTTCTGTTAGAAAAAAAAAACTTGCGGAATCGAATGGAAATTATTTCATACTGGGGAGAAAACAGGAAGTGAGAGTTTTCTGTGGTACACAATTAAATGTATTTTTCCGTCCATTTTTTCCCATGTGCAATCGTGGTGGTTTACTTGGGCGAGTTTTCATTCTCGCGAAATTCTTGGAAGAAGTCATTGTTTACGTTTGTGTTCTGGTGCTCGTATCACATAACAAACAAAAATTCATGCAAAATTCCACCAGAATCTGTCACAAAATGGTTCAAACTTAACACTCCACTACATATTATCACGCAGCCTCTTTAGTAGATCGTAGGAAAGTACATGACGTTTTAGTCTCACTTTTTTCATAGGAATTTGACATATTGGGAAGGTTTGTTTACGAAAAAACTGTAAAGATGTGAGGCGAAAATGTCGTAAAGTACACGTGTCATTACGATCTACTACGATCTACTAAAGAGCCTGAACTCAGAAAGAGATGACACGTCAACATTGGAACAATCGCTTATGTGTCAAGGTCTTGGGAAAAGTCATTCCAATCGTGCAGACAACCTGTCAAATGGATGAGATGTCGCCACTTCCGAGGCCACTTCAACGAATTCAGCCTCTTTACTATTTGCGATCTTTGACAGTAGCAGAGGTTTTTTGCTTTTGTTTTAAGTTGCTGTAAGTTATTAATATGCTGCAGAAAGTACGGGAACATCGTGGGGGACGACTCTATCTACGATACAGGAAAGATTTTGTTTTGGTGGGGGCATCTGCGCGCACGCTGAGTAGATAGAAAGAAGATTGATGACGATTCTGAAGATTTCCGGCAAAAATATGATGCACGATGCAAGTAGATGCGAGAAATGAAAGAAGATTGTTCGTAGATTGATTTGTGAGATTTTTCAAACATCTAGAATTGAGATTTAGATGTGACGCCCCCCTCGGGGAACATACTGTTGCTTTTTGCTGACCTATGCCATCTCAAAGACAGGTAGAAGCAGAAAACACTTTAAGTAGCTTGTGTAAGATCAACTCTCAAATATGGTTGATTACGTAAGATTAATTCTTGAATATTGTAGCGCAAACGCCATACCAAGAAATTTATATAAGTCTGCTCAATACCAGTTGTCGTTATTCGTTCTATTGTAAAAATGTTTTTTTTGTGCAATTTTTTTCCACGTAGCTTAAATAATCTAAACTAAAAAACTAAATTAAGAATCGTAACTGTGCATTTGAAATTTGGTGTCAAAAATTTCATTTTGAAAAATTACCAAAAGTTTTATCTTCCTCAATTTTTCAAGAGTCTAGTTTGAAAGTTTTGGGCCTCAGATAGCCTAATCGGTAATGGCTCGGTAAACCAACCGGAGGACATTTGTTTGACTTGTATGGTTTGTATTGGAATATTGGCATAGAAAGCTCTCAATTGTTAATTAAAGGAGCTTTTTGATTAGAAATATTAAAAAAATATCCGCACAAAATTTTCTCAAGAAAGATTTTATTGTTTCCTACAACTTTCTCTCACATATCATTTCGATTAAAAGTGAAAAATATATAATACGCCATTTTGAAAATATTTGTAAAATTCAAAATGTCCAAATTTAAGCACAAGTATCAACGATTGCTTAAAATAAGCAATTATACAAAGTTTCATGCAAATTGCTTGTTTAAGTGTATAAATATATATATATATTGAGTCAAGACATTATGTGCATGTTCAACATATGAAGTACTGAAATTACTATTTACTATTTCCTGTTTCTGAAGCTTTGAAATGGAATTTGTCTATGTTGAAGTTGGGTAGAATTTGTCATGATGCATATCAAAGTGTATAGAAATTGTATGATGCAGCTATGAAGACACTTGATCCTTGATCTATTTAATTGACCTTCGATGGCAGTGAAATAGCTTGAGGTTTTAAATAACTACTACAAAAGCATTGGGATTGTTGCTCCACTCTACCAAAAATCCGATGATGACTGACAATGCCGCAACTCACCTCACATATGATACTTGAATACAATCTCAAATTGGTTACCTTTGATTGAAATGAAAGTAGGAGGAATGGGCTTTGATTCATAGTTTTCATATACTTTCACTGTCGTAGACGTTGATGTTTCTCCATTTTTATTTTTGATTACACAACTGTATTCACCAACATCGCTGTAGTCCACGTTAACCATTTCTAAACTCAGTAAACCTTCACTAACTTTGAAGGTATGCTTGGAACTTTTTTCAATCGGATTTCCATCTTTGAACCATCGAACTGTAATCCCTGGTCCAGATATAGTGCATGTTAGTTTCACTGTGGAGCCTTTGGGAGCTGCTCTTGCTTTTAAATGTGAAATAATAAGCGGCGGCCGCATTAATTGACGTTGACGTTGCCATTCTAAGTCACGTTCTCTCTCTGTCATTTCGTGAACAGATTCTCGCCTTGACGCTTCTTTAGAAGATGGTTTACCTTCTGCAGGTTCTTTAGCTTCTTTCTTAGCTTTCTTTGATTCTTCTTCACTATTTTTTAATTGTTGTTCTATATCATCAACACTTTTCCACACTGAGGGATCGAACTCTTCCTTCGGTGGAATCAGCTCAACGTCTGAATCATATTCTGGTTCGGGTGTTCGTTCTTTTGGTGGAGGTGGTGGCGGTGGTGTCGGCTCACGAGGTGGAGGAGGTGGTGTCGGCTCACGAGGTGGAGGAACTTCTTCCTCCTCTTCTTCTTCCTCTTCTTCTACCTCTTCTTCCACAGGTTCTGGAGCAGGCTGGGGAATTTCCTCGACAGGTGCCGGAGCGGATTCTTCTTGGGACTTACCTTGTTCCTGTTGCGCTTGTAACTCAGCTTCTGCTTCACTTAAAGTTTTCTCATGCTCAGCAGCGGGTTTTGGTGCCTCTGGTTCAATTGGTTGCTCTTCTATAATTTCGATTTTTACTGTGGAAATGTCACCACAACTAGCTGGATCAAGACTGCAGGAATCCGTGAAAAAGAGCGAAATGTATTCATCCACATTAGTAACACCTCCAGAAATGTCCATAACCAGTGCTTTGTCTATGATTGCTTTTTGTGATGCAACCTGTTTCTCTGGTTTTTCACCAATTTCAAAGGGAGATTTCTCCCTATGCAAACTCCTAAAATCACGTGGAGAATCACCCCGTTTTGGAACCGCTAGCAAATCTAGGGTTTGCGGTTCTGGAGTTAGTTCAATCGTTACAGGTGCTTCATCTTTGGCCGAACGGCGCGACTTTCTTTCTCGACGTCCACTCATTTTAACGCCCTATTTTCAATTATAAAACTCTAATAAAATCATCTTTTGAACTATAACAACATGAACTTACGTTAGCAAAATATTTGATGCTTTAAATGAGTAATTTAAAAATGAATATTAATAATCTATCTTATAAACTAAAACTTTTTTTTTTTTGATATGTTCGGACTATCGTAGAGGGATTGCCAAATTCCCATCAAACAGATAGTGCCGAAAAACTACTCTAAGGGTTTGCGGCATATCATTTTCGAAAACCCAGACATGTATCTGATCGATTCTAAACACACACGATCACGTATTGGTGCTTTTATCGCTAAATAAAACTTGTAACGATCGATATATTTAGCGCTCGGCGAGCATCTAATTTTAGTATGTAGAACTGGTGACATAGTCACCGTTGAGTAATGCGCATTCATAGATTTCTATAGGCGATTTAAAGTACACCGCAGTACAAATGATGTAAAAGTGTTGATTCACTTATGCACATCTGTGGTAAATTAGTAGTCCACTGAAAGGTTTTTTTTCTTCTTTTAATTACGAATTATAAAATAGCTAAAATTTATAATTTTGACACTGCATTTACACGTACTTCTAAAGTATTTTGCTAGGTTACCATGAACAATTTGAATGTATCCACCTGTGGTGAGATCTGACCCTTTTTACTAATTTAAATTCCAACAAAAATCTCATCAAAAAGGAAAAAATCAGGGAAAAGAAGTAGAATAGTTTCTGAATGATGCGGAGCTCAGAGCAGAATAATTGATTTTATGTGTAGCATGGTCCTCCGGGGGACACCCGAACTTGTCAAGGGGATCAGAGTGTGTTCCCAGACACTCAATATAACAGCTAAAGAATTCCGGAATTCTTATGCGATGCGTTTTAGCTAAGAGTGGATTTCGGTGGCTTCTCAAATTGTCCAACACAGCAATAAATTATTTTTGATATCACATCAAAGTGGATGCACTTCAATCGTGTTTAGAGATGAACTAGCCTAAGGCTAAAAATCTCTTTAATAAAGAATTAAAAAAAAAAAAACTTCAATCGTGTCAAAAATATGGTGTAATATTACTTACCATAAAGGACAACATTATCATTGCACTTCAATCATGTCGAAAATCTCATGTATTTTTTATGGCAACAAAAATAAACAAAAGCAGTAAAAGCAGCGTCAGGCCATAAAAATAACATGAGATTTTCGACATGATTGAAGTGCATCCTCTTGGATGTAATATTAAAATTTATTTTTTGCTGTGAGTATCATGCATTCTCATGTGATTTGATCCATATCTAGTTATCCGATTCTAACCGTTAACCGTCATTTTTCACATTTTTATCTAACTTGCATTGCCATCAAACTGACTTGTTCTCCACCAAACAGACCTCCGCAGTGATTTGAGATTTGTGCGTAATTGCATTTGTAAACAAACACGTCAATCGCCGATTTTTCACTGATTTTTAAACCAGGCCAAATTGAAGTGCAATGGAGTATACGTATTTACGATTGTTTACACATTTGCGATGCGCTACGTGAATACCCTTATTGATTGTTAGCATCCCAATACGACAACAAGTTGTCGCCGCATATTGTGGCTACAGTTGAAAACTGGTATCCAACTAGCAAAATTCAATTTTACTCTCGTTCTATACGTTGTAAATAGTGTCGGATGTAGCGCGCTGAATAGCGCATCATTGTGGTATTACACCGCACTACCAGACTTGAAAGAAATAACAAGATTATATCAGTTTGTGTTTCGCTGTTATACTGATTTTCTTTAACAACGGTTGTAGTTTATAACAATTGTTATGACAGGATGTTGATAAAATATCTCAATTTATCACAAAAATATACTCTTGTCAAAACAAAAAAAATAACACCTTCTATAAAAATGCTCTAATAAAACTATAAAACCAATAATATTTTAATCAATAATAGAATAACAGACTTCTAACACTCTGAGTTACTGGAAATATGATACTTTAGAACACAATTATAACGAAATATGATACATTCTAAAAGCGGTTTATTGATATAGTTTATAATATATCTCATAAATAAATAGAAACGCGTTAGTAGTTAACTGTTGGTATTTATTCTTACCTTGGCTCAGATAGTAATATATAAAAGAAAAAACACATTAATGGCAGTAAGCTGCAACTAGGATTATCTTTATAACCTGCAACATGTTTGCTTAGAGGCGTGTTGATAAATACTCATTTCAGCTAAAATAATGTTTTTCGGAATAATAAAACGAAAAGATGGTATGATGACATGTTTTACTTGTAACTTACAAGAAGAGGTTACAAAGTATGCGTTTGAAACATAAAACCTGTAAATTTTGCTTTCTATGAGTCACAATCAGCGATTTGCTGATCGCTGAGTGAATGAGTGAGTGTGTGAAAAATCGCTGATTGTGACTCTCATGAAGTGAAATAAACAGGTTTAATATGTCAAACACATTCTTTGCAACCTCTTCTTGTATCTTACCAATTCAAAATATGATCATAGCATCTAATTTTTTTTAACTAGTATGTTTATTTAGAAGGCTCAATCGCGTTAGCTTTACGGAGCCGATAGTTCATTGTTCTTTGTTTGTAACAAAATTCACTTATTTCTATGTCTAGTAGGAGTTGGGCCGAATACTCGCGGCTTACTCGAGGTTAGAGAGATACATTGTCGAAGGATAGGATCAGGGGAGGAGCTGGGGGGTAAGGTTTCGTTGTCTCGTCAGAGCTTTGTCGCCAGTATGAATGGTAGTGCGGTTCTAGTTTCGTCTGGAGTTCGATAGTCCACGGGCCAATCAAATTTTAAAAATTGTGTGGACAATTGTCTACGTATTGTCTATGCAATACTGCTAAAATAAACTAATAGGGGGCTGCCCATAAAGTACGTAGACAGTTTAGGGGGAAGGGTTGGCAATTATCCGCGGCCCATACAAAATATTTGTTTTTTATGGACAGGGGGAGGGGGGTCAATAGTCCCCAAAAAACTGTCTACGTAGTTGATGAACAGCCCCTACGTAGTTGATGAACAGCAAACAATAGCATGCACAGTAAGAATAAATTAAAATTAATTTAAACCCAATGGAAAACGAAACCAAGATCAAAGCTTTTTTTTTTAATGTGTTTATTTTTCCAGGCTCATTTTCCGTTTTAAAAACACATAAATTAAATTAAAATAATCGAGATCTGGGCTCGCCAAGATGTCTCTAAGGCCGCAAAGGTTGTTTTCCTCGGGCCCTGAGGGATGCGGATAACTCGGATCTAGCAACACAATGAAGGGTGCATGACCAAAGCACGTGGTCGATCTCGCACAAATTGCTGCCTGCGAGCCCGATTCGGAAGAAATGCGAGTCTAACGAGTAGTGATTGGACATGAGCCTATAACACGTATAAAGTCACGGCTCATGTCCAATCCGTTGAACCATGGCTTGTTCGATACCTGTGGGAGAATAGAATGTAACCATCTTCCCAGATCACTCTCATTCCATTTTGGTTGCCAGTTGGTGAGGACGTGCTGCCTTTCATAGCGCCCACCTTAGCTAGCGAGTCCGCTTTCTCATTACCCGGAATTGAGCAATGAGATGGGACCCAAACTAAGGTGATAGTATAGGAGCAGTTAGATAAAGTACTCAATTTAGCTCGGATTTCGGTCAGGCAATACGAGGCTTCATCAGCCTCATTGATCGTATAGCCTCCAACGAGCTAAGGCTATCTGTAAAAATAAAATAGTGAGGCAATTTGCTCTACTGCGTAGAGTATGGCTGCTGGTTCCGCAACGTATACGGAACAGGGTTTTTGCAGTTGATATGAGGCGCTATGAAATTCGTTGAATACTCCAAATCCAGTAGAAGCGTTTATATTTGACCCATCTGTGAAAAAACTCCTGTTGTTACGGATATGGTGGTACTTGTTTGCAAAAATTAAGGGAACAACCATCGACCGATGGTGATCTGGTATTCCACGGATTTCTTGCAACATGGCCAGATCAAAATTTACAGAGGAACTATAAAAATCTTGGAGGCAAACACGAGAGGAATTGAATGAAGAAGGGCCAATATCCAGCGTCATGTACTCGTAACCCGAGCAAAGTCTGAGATCAAATTGAAATCTAAATTTGATGTTGTGATTTCGCTAATAATGATTGCTCAGGTTGCTGTCGTTTTGGTCGTTTTAACGGTTAAAATATCAAAATTGAGAGCAAAAAACTCAATTTGATATCAATTTTTCCTGTTGATCAAACAAGTATTCAATTTGATGTTATGCTAAGGCAAGAAGAGCAAATGTACAGCAAAACGAAAACAAAATTTATCAATTGCATAAACTGAAATCAAATTAAATGTAACTGTGCAGGATGATGCTTCCTAGAAAAAACAACCAACACAGTTTTCTCCGGAGAGAATTCGATACCTAGCTTCATAGCCCAAGTAGACAAATTGTCTAACGTATCTTGCAATGGTCCTTGCAGGTCCGGTGCACTTGGCCCTATAACGGACACAACACCGTCATCTGCAAGCTGCCTTAGCGAGCAATTTTCATCAAGACAACCATCAATGTATTTTACATAACAATTATAAAGAAGGGGGCTTAAACATGAGCCCTGTGGGAGACCCATGTAACGTATTCGTGAAGTTGTCGAGTTTCAATGAGAAAAGCTCATATATTTCTCAGACAACAAGTTGCTCATAGTTGTTTATAATTGGTGAAAGACCACTATCGTGGAGTTTATCCGAAAGGACATCGATACAAACAGAATCAAAAGCCCTCTTAATGTCTAAGAAAACTGAACCCATTTGCTGTTTTTGCACATAGGCCAGTTGAATTTCAGTTGAAAGCCAAATTGCGTGTCTGAAAGTAAACCATTCGATTCGACCCATTTGTCAAGACGAAAAAGAATCATTTTCTCCAACAATTTCCGTATACAGGACAGCATTGCGATGGGACGGTACGAGTTGTAATCCGACGGTACTCTTTAACAAATTTATGGTGGTTGTAATGCTGAGCTATTAGGGTGTTCAACACAGATGAGTTATTTTATATTTACATGGTTATTTTGCTTAACGACGTGTTTGCGGTATCATCCAAATAATTTGTGGAAAAGTTCGACTATGTGGGTTATTGTTCGTTTATGGTATTTGTTTATTAGGGCAGCTCGCTGCTTGCAGGCTGCCTTTCGTTGTGTACT